TAAAATAAATAGGATTATTTCTATGGTATTAGCGTAGCAGCAATATTCAATGTTGCATTTAATGTAATGCATCTCTGGGTTGCATTCCAATCATTTCTTTAACTTTTAAACACATATTTACCCAAAGTTTTAGCTTCTATTTTCCCTTTTTTCTTTACTGACTTAAAAAATCTTTATTTAAAGAAAATTCAAAACTATATTTGTTTCATTTAATGAGTTGAAAACCTGAAATAACCTCAAAGATATCCTAATGTTTTACGATTCACCTGCGTGTCTGTATTTTATGACCTTAGCTCCTATTTACAGAAAAAGGAAAACAAATTGGAGATATTTCAGAAAATATTTACACCAATCAGAAACGGCTGAATTCCTTTGTGGAAAAAACAAAACAACCAAAAGAAGGTTTTTATGTTTTTTTTTTCCCTCCTCTCACATTTACCTCATGGCCACGAAGCATTTACTTTTATTTTATTACTTTTGAATCCTTTGAAGGACCGACAGCCTAAATAACCAAAGTGTTCTTTTATTCTTTAACCTCGTCCCTGCCCCTAATTTGTTTTTCTTTCCAAATGACCCCCAAAATAGAAAACAAATGTTATAAAAGGCATCAAAATAACATGTAAGTTCAAGCTCCAGCTCCATCCTGCTGCACATAAAATTGATGTTTATGGATTTTATTTTTTTTTTTAAAGAAAAGCAAAAGTTTTAGTAATTTTTTTAAATCTTTTAAGTGTTTTAATTAAAAACAAAAGCAAATTTTGCTTTAGATATAGATGTATAACAAGAGCATATCAAATGGGATGCTTTTTTTAAGATACGTATAGGATGGTGAAGGGAGGAAGATGCAGGCTTTGAGTTCTAAAAAAAGTGCCAGCAATAATGTTAGAGTTTAAATCTACAGCAGACAGAGGATTAAAGTGAGTGAAGTATGGCTCAGATGAAGGATCAGCATTTCTTTTTTTTTTTTTCCTTCGGAAAATGGTAATGCTTGAGGGCAACTCTTGAGGTGTTGTTTACTGCCCCCGAATCTGCAGCTTCAGCAGCCAAATTAGCTGAAATAAACCTTCAAAAGGGTGAGACAGAAAACAGTAGCCTGTGGCAATGAAAAAAGATATTGATCCAGTTTTGAAGTTGCAAATCCCACGTTGCTCCATTTTGTGAGAAAGCGAAGAGTTTTAATTAGAGCTCCCTTTGCCACCAGGTTCTCTGTCTGTGTCTCTCTGAGCCTGGGATCGCTGCCAGGCTCTATTGTCTGAAGCCTCGGCTGCAGGTCGAGAACAAAGTCGCAGACGTGAGAGTCATTTTGGTTGAGACTTCCACCGCTGCTAGAGGAGAATTCAGGTGCTGTTATGCAGCACAAAGCATACACTGGGTCCATAATGAACTTTTAACAGAGGTTTTTCTGAATTAACTCGAACATAGCCGATGTGACTAACAAAACAATAATGTTTGTGGCTTTCGGAATATTTTGTCAATCTTTTTCCCTCATATCTGTTTTTGATCATTTTTACACTTGCTTTAAACCGTATCATCATTTTCTCTGATTACTTTGCATAAAGTGTCATATTTAGATCCTGAAGTGTTGGTAATTGCATCTCTATTGTTGCTTTCCTTACCAGTTACAAACAATGCTTTTGAGACTGTGACAATGTGCCAAAGGGACTCTTTTGTAATTCTGTATACTTTAAGCCTAAAGCCTCATGTTCCAGGGTTAATTATATTGAACTCTTCTCCTTTCAAAAAAGAAATCCACTGATGGTTGCAAATTAAACCATGTTAGGTAAAGCACTTTAAAGCACTAGGATTTCTCCTTGAATTGTCAAGGCTGCATACATTTTGACCTTTTGTAGTTCTTGTTTTGTGCATTAATAATGGCTGTAAAGCTTTAGTTTGGACCTTGAAATTTACAGCGAGTCCTCTGGGGTTGGCATTCAAACGGAGATACTGCCTCCTCCTGTCTTGTCGAGGAGTCAAACACAGAGGTCACCTTTTTGTCAAATAAGTAATCTGTGAGAGGAAGGGTTATCAGTATTCAGGAAGTTCATGGAAAGTTCTGCACCACTGACCCTTGCCTCCTTTCAGAGTTAATTCATTTAAAGGAACTTTACAGGACAAACAAGCAAAAATCTAACTAAGGATAATCTAATTTGTTCTTAATTAAATTCAGTCCAGATTATTCTAATAAGATTGAAACATGTGGTCAGCTTCAGATTTAAAACATGCAAAATGAACCGTATTTGTTTTAGCATTTAACAATAACGAAGTGCTGCACATCAAGAACAGTTAATAGTAAAGATAGTAAATGTTGAAATGTGAAGCCCTACCTGACTGAAAATCTAAAACATAGAGGTTGGCAACCTAAAGGTCTTAAAATTCTTAACACCTCATAGGGGATTCAAACATTATTCCACAGTTTGGGGATTGCCACAGAAAAGGGACAATCCCCCCTACCTTTCTTGTCACCCTCGGGCCATTAAAACACAACTGGTTGGTTTTTCTTTTAGATGTAGGGCATTTCATTCTAGAAGATATTTAGAATATGATAGGGCAAGACTTTAAAGACGCCAAGAAACAAGTTACAAATTATTTTATGGTGCTATATTAATCTTTTTATTTTTGTGTGGATGCTATTTTAATTTTTTTTTTTTTTATTGCCCTGAGTTGAGCCATTTGTTGCTTTTAAGATGCTATGGAAATAAATATAGTATGGTATGAATGTCATCAGCAAAGCATTAAATCTATTTCCTTAAAATAAAAGGGGTAGCATATTTAGGAAGATTTAGTTTTAAGTCTACCACTCAGATTTGAAGCATCAGAAAAGCAGGCATTCCTATATCAGCATCAATTAAAGGGTAATAAAAGTCTTAGAAAGAGATGCAGTTTTACAAACAAGGGCTAAGCCATGAGAACTTTTGATAGACAACATAAACCCAGTATACAAATTTAAAAGCAGCAATAGTTCATTCATTGCCTCTGTTTCAGTGGGGCACCCAGGAATACATTCCATAAGGACTTTTTTTGCCCTTTTCAGGAAATTTTCCAGTCGTGCAAGAATTCTTTGGATAGTAACAGTCGCGCTTACTATTTCACAGTCAGTTGCGCTCATTGGTCATAGCGTTGGCCAATAGGCACAGACATGGTTTGAAAAACAACGAGTTGTTCTCATCAACAAACATCCAATGTCTCATTCATCGGGGCGAGACTAAATTACACATTTAATCTCACATTTAGTCTGGTTTATCAGGCTAAGAGTTATGAGCATCTATGAGCCAGTTTAGCAGAACCCCATGCACTGCACTTATGCAAACAAGGGAGTTCTTCTTCTTCTTCTTCTTCTTCTTTCAGATTGACGAGTCCGACCAGTCGATCTCATGGCACAGATCGTTGAGCCATACAGTCTAAAAACATATATTCTGAGCTGTGAAATTTTTAAACCCTGCAATTACATCCTACAGTTTGATCTTTAGCTGAGTACAAAGATTGAACATATCGTGCAGTTTATGCCTGGCCTAAAATGATAAAACAGACTTAATGACAGCAAAGATGTATAGAGTAGTAAGAAAAAATTGTGAGGAAAAAAGGTCAGCCTGTTCTCTAGTGTCTTAAGTCTATAGCAGCATACAGAGAAAAGCTATTGTAAGCATGTCAGACTTAAATCTTTATCTAACGTGGTAGGCCCATTCTATCTGGAATCAGTGATTACTTATAGCCATGCCTGACCTCCAGCCGTCCTCTCCAATTCTGTTCAGTTTGTTCTACTCCAAGATCACATAAGCCTCCAGCTCTTTTCATTCATCCCCTATGGGGGAAGCACCTTAATGTTCTGCCTTAATTTTTTTATTTCATTAATTCATTTCATTGCAAACGCTGCTGCCTGCTGTTGAAACCGGTGTGTTTTCCTTACTGTAAAAGTAACATTTCTGCCCCACATAAACCTGTGTTTAGCTGCAAGCTGTGAAACACGAGGCACCAAAAGGATTGCGGCTGAAACATCAGTATGTTAATGATACTCTGTGGAGCAGTGGAGTTGGAAAATGTAAACTACATCTCCCCTGCAGAGATGCGTATGACTGCCACAAAAATGCTGAATGAAGATACAAGGCCTAAGGGTACACAGAGCAGAGCATATGGGTTCTTTTATACAGTGTGAAACACCAAAAGCTTTATTGGATTTTAAAACAAATCAGAAGACCTCAATTCCTAAGAAAAAAGATTTTCGGATCGTTGCAAATCTCCTTTTTCCTTATTTATTCAAGTTTTTGAACCTTTAATCCCAAATAGCGGAAACTTTGTAAAGCAGAAATTGATTTGTTTTGGAGGAGATTTTGTGGGATTCACGCTAATATTCAAGATTATTCCAGGCTCCACTGAGAATCGCGGATTAGTTTGGAAACTCTCCAGCTCTGCTCCAAAAGAATTCATTGACCTTGGAGTTATTCTGAGAAAGTTTTGGACTGAGCCTGCTCACCAGCTTTTCTCTGTTTTCACTCTTTCAGTGCTGCTGTAGCCTTTTTGTAAAATATAGGGGTGTTGCACAGTGAGGGGCTGACCTTCAGCCCTGGTTCTGCAGGAACCTGACCAAAAGGCTTGTCCTTCAGCAGCACAGTGACTCCCTGCTGGCTCCAGCTGCGCTGCTCTTCAGCTGACTCTGACTTCAGAATTTTTATCATGTTATAGAAAAACATGTATTGTAAAGTTTTAGACTTGTTGGGCTTCTTTAAGGTGTCTCGGATCTTAGATCTTTTTAGATTTCTCAGGAATGGTTTTCAATAATAAAGATTATTAATTTTAACCCTAAGGATTACAATTAGTAAAACTCGGATATAACCTCTAAAACTTTAAATTAGGGGTAAACTAAGAGGTTTTTACCTCCCAACCTACAGTCCAGAATAGAATGAGAAGTTGTATTAGAGGTGTTGATGTGCAGTCCAAAGGGAAATTGCTAACAGGTGCATTGTTCTTGTGTTTTGTGTCTCTCCGTGTGTGCTTCCCTGCCTTAGCAGAATCCCTGTTCAGCGGCATGGGGCTCGGAGCAGTGGTGGGCCTCGGCCTGGGAGCGCTTCTCCTCCTCCTGGTGCTGGTGGATGTCAGCTGCTTCTTCCTGCGTCACTGCGGCCTGCTCATGTGCATCACGCGCACGCTCTGCAGCAAGAAAACGGCCACCAGCGGCAAGGGCAAAGAAATGGAGGAGGGCAAGGCAGCTTACCTGTGAGTACCAACTTCCCTGTCTTGCTTATTATTTTTTTGGTTGTTTTCCCTGTTGAAATCTTGGAACAATTATTTGGATTGTCGGGGTCAATGTTTGCAAGTCACCAGGTCCTTCATGCTTGAACATCTGCTGTGGGTGTATCAACAAACGTAAAGACCTGAAGGAATGAATGCAAATCTGTAGAAACTCTTCAAGCAGCTTGCTATCTTGGGCACTAATGCTCAAGGAAAATCTACACTCAGTTTAATCAAGTGTCTATATTCCTCCCTTATTTGCTACGAATGAGCAAAGGAGACTTTTTTTTTACCGTTTACTGTAGGTACACCTACAACAGCCGCCCAACCACCCTATCAACCACAGTATGTCTCTGATTATGTCTTTCTCACTAACGTCTGTGCCTTTCATACAATGTGCCGTGAGTCCTCTTTCCTCATTTGCATGCTCTCTGTGTCTGCATGCCCATAATCCAAGTGTGGTGCTGTTTCAGTTGTCTGGAGCTCACTCTTTACTTTTAGTGCTTCTGTGTTTTGTTATGCTTGCAATGCAAATGTAGTAGACGAGAGATTCGCTGCATGAGCTGTTTGTGTAAGTGAGCACGCACTCTTGCGTTGCTTTTTCCTCACAGCATGCAGCCTAGAAGCCCAGCCCTCCTTTAAGTCACAACTCAATCGATTTCCAGATTCATACCCTGCTTATTTGCACGGGAGGCACCGGACAAATCGAGGCTCTCCCAGATGGCGCCGACGGTGTTGGATTCATTGGCCTCAGCAGAACCGCCCTGGGTTTTTTTGTTTTTATGCTGCCAGTGTGAGAGGAGAAGGAGCAGGGAGGGGGCTCTGACTTTTGCTGAGTCACAAAGTGACAGGCTGCTCAGACTGCATGCAGAAAGCGTGTCGGCGTGACAGCAGAGCAATGCTAAGCACTCCATAGAAGCTGGCATGGTGCTGTTTGTTTAGCAAGGCACAGCTGCAGGTAGATCAATAGCAACTCTAAACCCGAATGATAAATCCTATCTTACTAACCGTTGTGCTGAGTAACATTGTTGTAGCCACATTTTGTGTAAAAGGTGGACATTTCTTCTGTTATGTTCTTTTTCTATGGTGTTGTAAACCTCTAATAAGCCTCTCTGTACGACTTTAGTATTTCTACTGATTCTGTCCAGTTTTATTGATGCCTGTTAGAAATTTGACATTCAGACTTTTGAACTCAGGCTTTAAGTGTTTCAGAACCACTTATGAAATATACAGTAGGAGGCTTCTCTTCTATAGGGCCAGCAAATAACCTCACAGAAAGATGTGACCTGATATTTATTAAACTAGTGGTTTTAGAGAAAGTGTAAACCTTCACAGGCTGAATATCCCTGTTATTATTAGTTACTAAGAAAAAGACCCACCAGCACACTAAGCTGTCTAAGAAGGTGATGCAGCATCTAACATCAGAAAGACAACTTCTTCTACACTATGAGCCTTCGGATTGCTCTGCCTTGTTTCTGGATCAACTGAATTTAATTTACCTCCTTTTCATCTGTGAGAGTTTTCTTTATCGTGATGGATGGATGGATGGATGGATGGATGGATGGATGGATGGATGGATGGATGGATGGATGGATGGATGGATGGATGGATGGATGGATGGA